CCAGCCCTGTCCCGCGGTCCCCCCCGCCCCGCCCCGCCCCGGGCCCGCCGCAGGCCTGCCCCGGCAAACACTTTGGAAGAGAAGGATCCTCCCTGCAAGAGGTGCCCGCTGTGCCGCCAAGGACAATTCCCGGCGGTTTCCCGACGGATGAGAACCTGACAGAGGCGGATCCTGGCTGTAAATAACTGCTCGGTGGCAGGGACACGGGAACCGAGATGCGTTCCCTGTCCCAGGCAGCTTACAGGAATTCCCAGCAGCTTACAGGAATTCTGGCCGTCAGCAATGACGGCAGAGAGAGGCAGGACGCTGCAGCATCACCGCAAAGAGCACACGTCCGTCTCAGAGACAGCCACGCTCCGAACATAAGTAGTAACCGAGGAGTAACGCCTTTGTAAGCAGGACAACAGCATCAGTACATACAGGTCAGGCTTTGTAGAAAAAGCGAGTTTCAATTCTGACCAGTGCTTCTGCCCCGCAACCAGTCCGTACCAACACGCTATGTCCACGGCAAGAAGTTGCAGTGCAGAATCAGTCCCAGCAGCCAGTAGGACAGGAAGAATCCAAGAACGCATTTGCTGAGGCGGGGAATTAATCTACAGTTCATCAGCAGCCTCACAACGGGGTTTTCAGAAGTCCCTTTCCCACAGGAACCAGGAGATTTACCTAGAAGAGACCTCTCGGAGCGAGGTGCCGCGGTTTGATTATCAGTCCCTTCGCTCCGGAGTAAAGGTTCGTATTCTTGAAGCAGGTGAGCGGAGAACCAGTACAGGATGGGAGAGGAGGAGCCCAGGAAGCGGGTCAGCACCTGAAGACGACAAGCAGAGCAAAAATCACATAAATCGCAGCTCTCCGACTGTGATCAGCCCTGATCCCAAGGCACGGAAGGAGCCATCTATCTGCCTCAGGTTGCTGATAAAGGGGACTGAAATACAGCCCCAATTCATGGTGCTGGGATTTATTACATTGAAATGAAACACCTCTCAGCTCAACCTGCTTTATTTATTACATTTGTGTAAGCAGTCAAGCGGTCCCCAGGTTTTGGACAAGCACGGTAACTAATTGTCACTGTCCAGCGCAGGAGCTGGGCAGGGGCAGCAGCTTCAGGGGAGATTTGAATCTCACTCTTCAATTATTTTTTCACTGGAACCCCCAATCTTTAGTGCCACTAGCTGTGTCCTAAAAAGACCTGCAAACACTCTAGAGACTGGCGACAGGCTCTGGATCCTTTTATTGCCATCCATTAAGCTCAGCCCAACATAATGACCTGGCATCCTTGTCCTCCAACAGCCGATTAGCAGGGCTTGGCAAGCCTGGCCTTAAGCACACGTCAAACGCCACCTAACACCAGCCGGACCCTTTGATCCCCGCGCCGGTGTCATCACACTGAGCTCTCTTCAGGAACTCTCCGGCAGAGCACAGGAACTAATTGGCTTTGGAAACTCTCTGTGGAAGTAGCTCCGAAAGAGGAAAGGCAAAGCTTTTGTTTTGCATTGCCCTGTGCTGCCCTGCAGCTGGGACTGTCACTGCCTCAGCCACCGTCCTGCATTCCCCTTAAGAAATGACTCCTGTGTGTTGCTACGAACGTCCCACCTGCACGTGCATGCAGAAGAATCCAAACGCCAGCAGGACTGTGGCATGGACCACGTACACGAAGACAGCGGGGCAGCAAAATCCAGCTCTTGGTTTACCCTCTTCATCACTCTTTCTTCTCTCTAGACCAAGAGTTACGCAGTGCCGAGGGTTTGCAGTGATGTAGGTCCAGGCAGCCCACGAGCCCAGAAGTGTGACAGGCAAAGCAAGCAAGAAATTTGGTATCTGTCTGAGCTCAAAATACCTTAGAAAGCCCACATTCCAGTAAGCATCTTGAATATAGGAATAGACCACGGGGAATCGCTGGGAGCACCAAGGGGGTTTAACCCCGTTCAGGCCCCCCAGACGATAGCCCTTGTGCAGAGCCAGCTGCAGCAGCGGCTTGGGAACAGCCTGCTCCAGGCCGGTGCCAGGACCACAGAACCTCACGTAGGCATAATACTGAAATAAAACAAAAGGTAGAAAAATCCCGGCACACATCAGAACCGCTGAAGATGCCACGCTAAGGAGTTGCTTCCACAACAGAGGGAGCTTTCTTACCGATCCTGAACCCACCTGGAGCTGGAGGGCAAAGCATTTACCGCGGGAGTAGAGAAAGAAGCCAGCATTAATAAGCCCATTGGCACGTACCCCAGAAGCAAGGGAGAAGAGCAGTCCACTGAGCCAGCTCTGCCCCTTCTCCAATTGCCACATGGCACTGAATGCCAGGAAGGCAAACATGCTCTCTGAGTAAGCAGCTGCCATAAATACATTGGCAGGGCTGATAGAAAAAAGAACGGCAGCAAGGAAGGCCACCCTGCGACACTGCAGCACGACGCAGCCCAGCTTATACAGGGCAGCGGCTGCCAGGACAGAAAAGAGAGAATTAAGAAGTACAGCCGATAGCAGGAGGCGGCTCCGCAAACGCAGCAGCCGCTGCAAGGGCCACAGAGCACCCTCAGCCACGGCACGCACGCTCAGGGGGTACAGGGGGAAGAAGGCGCAGTTGTGCTCGTACAGGTAACCACGCTCGGCGATAAAGAGGAAGTGCTCCGCGTCCCAGTGCGAGAGGCCTCCCAGCAGCCACTCCAGAAGCAGGTCCCACAGGCCAGGCTCGGACAGGCGAGGGGGATAGAAGGCATCTGCAGCGTGATCTGGGATCAGGAGGTTAAACAGAGCCTGGAAAAAGAAGAGAGGATTGAAGTCCAGCAGACGTCCTCTTGTACCCTACCGAAAGCATCAAGCAGGAGGAGGACTCCTGGGTTTCAAAGGGGACAAGAGGAGCACAGAAGCCAGGCTGAGGGGCTTTGCAGCAAGGACACCTGTAAGACTGTGAAAAGGTGCAAACACAATATTTTGAACTGAATAAAGCTCTGGAACGTATCCAGCATGAATCCCCACGGAACTGGACAGGGAAAGCTGCTCAGCCCCATGCTCAGGCACACCTAACTGCGTACGCTCACAGCAGGTACCTCTGCAGCACTGGTAAGCCTCCTGTTCTACTCAGTTTGGCATTATTGTCCCAACTGGTGTACAAGGGAGAGGAGAAAGAACTAGAGACAAACATTTTCCCAGAGCAAACTGATGCAGAAGACAGCAGCCGATTCCCAGGCCCCCCCTCTAGTCTCTAGATCACTCCATCGCCTCTGCAGCTCAGCGTGCACGGGGTTCGCTTTCTGGAGATGAGCAAGCAGAATGCACCCACCTCTGCCTCCAGGAGCTTGTGGGGCTGACCACATTTTAAAAGGTGAGAGAAAAACCCAGAGAGCCCATGAGATAGGAGGCATGCAACATAATGCATTGTAATGTAATTTCAAATGAAAATATCTTTAAAAAACCCCAAAACCCAAAAAAACCTCAGATGGTAAGTTTTGTAGCTTAACTACATGTAGATTGGGATGCGTCCCCTGCAATAAATTCAGCATTGGCAGAGAAAAGAGAAAAGGCCGCACTGAACAAATTGGGACTAAAAGACATACAAAGCCGCTGTTTTACCATGAAGCACACATCTGTTCTAACCAGGCCTCTGGCATTTGTAACACAGAGTCTTTCATCTCAGCTGATGGTTCCACTCAGCCCTACCCAGTGGTGACCGGGGCTGCCGCACTCCGCCAGCTGGCTGGTGGCCGGCTGCTAAAGAGCTTTCTCAGGCTGATTTTGTTTCAGGAGGGCCACGGCCACGGCTGGACCCTTTGCTGGCTGTCTCGGTACGCACAGGTAGGATGGAGTGAGCAACCAAGCTCTCCCATGCTCAGAGAAGGATGTCTCTGGAAATGAGACTTGGGAGGAATGTGCAAGAGGAGATTATTGTTCCTCTTCTGTGGATAAACAGAGACATCAGCCTCTTGTGCTGCCAAACCGGCCTCTTACAACAGCGGCACGAAAACACAGCAAGTTACAAGGAAATTTATGTAATTTTACTTAACAGCAACCTGCCTGCCTGGATGCAGCTGGTCTGTTGGTTCTCCAATAGAGAAGATGATTTCCCAATCAAGCAGAACCAGCTAGCTCACGGTGCACAAGGCAGTACCGAAGAGAGAAGCCCTGGAGCAGCAAACAACAGATGTCGCAGCATCTTTGGTTCAGGAACAGGAGACTTGCCTGCAGCAGAAGTGTCAGGGCTCTGCAGCACACCGCAAACCACACGACCTCTCGGAGGTGGGGGTCTTGCCTGCTCAGCAGTTCCATTCTGAGCTTGAAAGTTGTCTCAGTAGGTCACTGATGCCAGGGAAATCCTCCCTCCGCTTTCGGAAACCTGAGTCGATAAACAGAGAGCACAGACACAGAAAGGTATTTCTGGCTTCAGCCATGTTTGTAAATTATGCACCTTTATTTACTATCAGGCACTTCAAAGGGCTGCAAACCTCTATGAACAAGAAAGTCACTTATGAAAGAGATCACGGATCTGGGAGATGACGCAGAAGACCTCTTTGATATTGTTCCTATTAAAAAAAATTTCCCTGACTTCTTAACCTTGGCCAGGATGCAGAGGGAGAGAAGTTGTAACATGTACTCTCAGCCCATTTCTTACCGGGCCAGTGTAAATACCAGAAGCAGACAGGCTCACCGGCCTCCTCAGCGGCTGCCTCAGCAGAAACACCAGCAGCCCAAGCCAGGACTCCACCAAGCATCTACGCACACATTCAAGTTCCAATGCGCTGAATGAGATTTAAACCTTTTTTTTTTTTTTGGAATAGAGACAGAATTAAAATGTGGACTCTGAGCGTAACATCTGTGTAAACAGTTTGCTGACTGGGGCTCACAGCCGGCCGGGTGCTGCCAGGCACACTCTCTCCTCTCTCCTGCTCTCTGCCCAGCCTTTGCCCCTGGGAAGCCGAAAACAGCTTTATTCAGGGCTGCCTCCATGGACCGAGCCCCCCAGGCTCCATCAGAGCAAGGCTAAGGTGCCTTCTCAGATACACAGGCTTCCCCCCATGCCTTCCATCGATCAGAGACGTGACACTCGCATCACTCCACCCTCTCCACCTGTAATTTTCCAATATTTTGGCCGGGGTCCTGGTCTCTAGAATGAGGGCATCTGCCTGTCAAGCAAATCGCATATGCTAAGGTGGCTCTCTTCCACCTCTTCCCTGCAAACCTCACCTGCAAGATTTAAAATGCTTTGTGGAGTCTCACTGCTTTTGTTTCTGTATATTCTGGATTGATGTTCTGGGACCAGCTACGAAAACTACTGGCCCAGAGCCACAAAAGGCAGGCAGTATCTGTTCTGCAGCTTTTTGAGATAACACATTTCTTCCGTTGGTTCCCCAGCCACCAACTGCTTTTCAGTTTGAGAAACAGAAGACCCACAGCTCTCGCTAGGTTCCAGTGACACCACATCCTGCACTATTTCCCACCTGCCATCTTTCTGATCCAGCGCCTTACAATACGTAAAGATCCCCAAACCGGTCACCTTAACGATCTAAAAACGCGCGGAGGTTTTCCTATTCCCATTACTGATGGAGAAAAAAACCTGGCAGGTTAAAAACTGCATGAGAGAGCAGAAAACATGTCATCTGCAAAGCAAAAAACAAGACCCAAACACGCTCATTTATAGTTCCAGTCCCTAACCACAGGATTATGCTTCCTATTTAGCCACATACAAAAGTTTTGGGTTTGCTCATATTCTCCTCTTGCTCCAGAGCATTCACAGCTACAAAGCAACTAGTGGGAGGCACATTCTCCTGAATCACGAAGCTGCAACGTTATTTTAAGAGAGGGGATGCTTCAGCCCAGCTGTAAATTCTATTAAAGCACATTCACAGCTGCAAATCCTATTAAAGCACAGTGGCAAAAATTGTCTCAGCACTTTAAATATTTTTTAAAAAGGAGAGAAATAGCTTCGCTTGAATGTGCCAAGAAGGCTCAAAGCAAACAGCTTTAAAAAGCCTGTTCCTGTCACGATGCAGCACACCTTGTAACGGAAAGCAGCGAAGTCTACAAAAAGCTGCAGCCCACAACCACCCTTCTGGTAGAGAACACGGCGTCAGAGCTGGAATGTCTCTACCCCGAAAGAGCTGCGTGAGAGAGCACCTGCACGAACGGAAAAAAGACACAAAAAGGCAGAAGCGGGTTAAAAATATTTCAGTAGAAAAAGATGCAAAGTCTTTTTTCCCTCCATGTTCTGCGTTTCCCTTTGCTCTCAGATACGAATTACATTTTGCTCGATCTGGGAAGAGTGCTAAAAAAGAAGACGTGAATATGAACAAAATAGATGCTAGGTAAATTACCATTTAAATGAAAATATGAATTCGGGAAGGTCTGTAAAGATGCACTGGAGACCGATTACCAGCCGGTGGCAGCAGGCACTCGCCGCAAAGGCCTTTCCCCCGTCCGTACACCCGGCAATCGGCTCCGGGCTGGGGTATCGATTCCTATCGGGAAACCTACTCCCGTCTGCATCCCAGAAACGCTTGGAGAGTCACAGTTTGGGCATCCCTTGGTACCTCTCCAACTGGCCCTCAGATTGAAGAGATACTCCAGACATATTTAAAAACCTGTTCTAACCAGGATGCCAAAGAAATAAGACCAAATTTTGGAAATCCCATTCGCCTAGCGCTGTTTCTGCGGGCCTGGGAGCTCTCGGCCTCGCAGACGCTTTCACTCCCGCCCCATTTCAGCAGCTGATCCAGCACCGCTTCGCCTGCATCTGAACGGAAACAGGAACGTTTCTACCCCCTGCACCTTTTCTAACAGCTCACGCGCGTGAACAAAACCCACGCTGGATCAAAGCGCAACCCGAGCGCTCAGCTCAAGACGACAGACCCGCTGAGTGAGCACCAGAGCTGCGGGTATTCGGGTCCGAGCGCACCGCAGTCAGCAGCTGATCCAGCACCGCTTCGCCTGCATCTGAACGGAAACAGGAACGTTTCTACCCCCTGCACCTTTTCTAACAGCTCACGCGCGTGAACAAAACCCACGCTGGATCAAAGCGCAACCCGAGCGCTCAGCTCAAGACGACAGACCCGCTGAGTGAGCACCAGAGCTGCGGGTATTCGGGTCCGAGCGCACCGCAGCGAGCCAAGCGTCAGAA